GATTTGTTTTTTTTTTTTTTTTCTGTAGAGCCCTTCCCTTTCACGAGCATTTATCAAATTCCGTCATCCCTTTCCTGTAAAGACTTGGAGACTAGATTTGGTGTAGGAAGGGAAATAAGTGAGGTTTGGGCATTTGACAGATGTTTTTGGGTGATGATGATTTGCAATTTAGATTCAAATTTGATGATGACAGTGGGCTGCATCACTTTGTTTTTTTAACTGTGGCTGCATCACTTCGGTGGTTCAACAGCATCTAACAGATTTTAACAGTTTGCTATACTTTTATGATTGCCGTTTTTGATTTATTTGCAGGATTTCACTATTGGGTGGGTAAAATCTTTGGTCGGACATACTTCATGTTTTGAAATATCAAGGATATTCGGCTAAAATTTTATAAAAATTGAAAGATACAATTTTAGTTACTCTAAAAGGATACCAAAGTATATTTCCTGTCAAACCTATAGATCCAATAAAACAAATTCATAAAATAAAAATGATAGCAAAAGATATGATGGATTTGGTACCCTCATTCAAATTCCAACCATAAATATTGTTTATATCAATGATTAGACAATCGTACCGTACCCGTAGTTGAACTGCAAAAGATAGCGATAGCGGAGCCAAATCCAAAATGGTACAAGCATAGTGGTAAAAATTGTGTTGTTACAAGCATAATGGATTTGGTACCCTCATTCAAATTCCGTGTACACCCCCTGACTCCGTCCCTAAATGAGCTTAGAGTTTTTCTCAATTGGAACATCCAGCCGCTCGTGAGCAGTTTGACTCATTTGCAACCCAGTAGAAATGAGCCGCCATCATTTTCGGCGCCGAAAATAGATTTTGATCGAACGAGTGATCAGTTGTTTCTCTTTTTAAAATTTTGTGCTTGATTGCATAACGATAATACAGATCTTAAAACGACCGCTTCGAAAGTAGAAAAGCCTTCCAATTTCCAAACAAGCAGAAGTGTGGGACGAAGCATCTGGGAAAATCAGAAGGTATTGTCCTCCTTCGTCCCAAATCCTAGATGCCTCCCTGACTTATCATATTCCCTCCCCGGTCGCAGTGGGTAAGCCTTTCTACGTACTTCTCTCATCTCTCTCCATATGCATGCATGCTTGTCAGTTACACTCTTGGTCCCCTGCAAAGCTCCACGAATCTTTCTGTGTTCCTTCCCCTATACCCATTGATTGATTGAATTTATGGGCAAGAGGTCTTCGATTTATGGGGGGGGGGGGGGGGGGGGGGGGGGGGGGGGAATCCTCCCCATGACCCATTGATTTATTGAACTTTGTTCATTTCCGCCCCCAGATCACTACAACAAAACTGTTATTTAGCGACGGTCATACGGACTTTTAGCGACGGTCAAAACCGTCGCTAAAATATTTAATGACGGACACCAAACCGTCGCTGACCCAGCAGTCCTTAAAATTTTTAGTGACTGTTTTGGTCGACCGTCACGTTAGCCGTCGGGAAAATGTAGCGACGACACTGACCGACGCAATCTTCCAAACGACTGTCGTTAAATAAATTTCATAATAAAAAAATTAAACTACTTAGTGACAGACTCTGACCGTCGCTAAAAGCCAGCGACTGTCGCCAAAACACTTGTTTTAAAGAGTGGCCTGCTTTGCCCTGGCCAGCTGTGATTTGATTTTTTTTTTCATAGGAAGCCTGCTGTGATTTTCTGAAATGCCAAATCAACAATATACAGATACTTTGATGATCATAAATCCACCTACTTTGAATTACCATATCAGAAACATAAAACATCAATCCTTCAATTCTGGAACAACCAAATCCAATCAAACCACTTACAAAAGTTCAAAACCTACAATCTAAAGTTTACTACTGTCATTCAAACCACTTACAAAGTTCAAAACTCCCACTTACAGTCCCTCTTTGCTCCTTATAATACCACCAAAGACAAAACTCCAGCACTGTGGAGACTGGTATATAAACTTCCTTTCATTAACCAGCAGCTCTGCAGAAACACCCCATTCAAATCACTTAGTTACCAAAGTATAATGCCTAATGTAGTACACAAAATTGGTATTCATTACTTGGAACATCACAAATAGAAGAAGAGAGAACTTAGTTACAGTGAAAGCTATGGATTACATACAGAGAACGAGACATCAGCGTGCAATATATGTATATAGGTATACATAAAGAGGAAGCAAAATGGCTAGCTTTTGGTTGGTAGAATATATATAAACAAGGAAAATGTTCAGGAAGACCACCTCCTAACTCACGAAGAATCATACAGAGAGAGTTAACTAATGCTTCAGAACAGGAAAATATTGATGCACAGGTATTATTTCCATTCATTTGATTAGCGTGGCCTTCACATACAGTGTTAAGTAAACGAGTGGGTTGGCTTAGATGTCTCACCCATAGTAAGGAAGACGAAGGGAACTTTCAAAGACCCTACATTGTGGACATAGTAAACAAAATCAGAAGCAACAACAGCCACATGAGTAAGAAGGTGAGTTTCACTAACATACTCATTAAAGTTATTCAAGAATTTCAGACCGTCGCAGTTGCTGCTAGTCCCGAGGCTGAAGGTTATTCAATTGAAGGCCGGAGAAACAACGTGGAGGTCAAGAAATAAACAACCTAGATCTGCTATAATCGTATCACTAAATTAACTAGTGTATTGTGTGATTTATGGCCCAACTAGAAAAGGGTATCAGCATGTCATAAAAATCGCACTACATTGCATATTGGTCCATTAAATCGCAACTTATGAGGTTAAAGGACTCAACTATGAACTTTAGTAAACACATGAACAAAAAGCATCTAACTTATGAGGTTAAAGGACTTATTCTTCTATTCCAGTTCTTCCTTCATGGCCTCACTGTTGTACTGCCTTCGCAGACTGGGCCTGTAAGAGGTTAAAAATGATTGGTCTCCAAAATTTAGTCAAATAACTTGCAATTATAAAGTTGTATTTTGAGGGCAGAGGTCATTGAAGATTAAACGAACTTTTACCCTTTACAAGTCAAACATGGTTGAAACTAAAGGCATGGAGCAGAACTGCAGTAAATAACAAAGTGGAAAATGTAAGGTCAATATATGAAAACTAAAAAAGCCTTCAAAGTTGAGTCATGAAGCAGAGCACAGAACAAAGTAACGAAGAAACCATAGATCATCAAGCCTCATTCTGAAGTTTACTGAAGAGTGAGGCAAAAAGTAACATATGTAATCTTTGGCGGTATAAATCTTCAGTAACAGCATCAAGTTCAGAGCTAAACATATGCATGTACCATTGTAAAAAGGATCACATGGAATTATAATTAGGGTACAAAATGAAAGTAAAGTCAGTGTATGCAGGAACAAAGTACTCTCTTGTGAACTAGAAAGACGTACCAGTCGAAAGTGCATAAAGCTATGGATTTTTTGCAATCAAAGGTCAGAAACTCAACTTTACAAAAGAAGATATGCTTATAACTGTAACCAAAACATGCACACGAAAAACCAATTAGGAAAAATAAAAAACTACAACTAGAGTTGATTAGATTACCAGGTAAGTACAAGAATATGTAAATGGTCAGAACAGTCATCTGCCAGAAAAAAGCATATGGTATTAAAAATCTGTGAACACTTGAAATGGGATAGTGATATACAACGAGACATTAAAGTAAATTTAGAATTAATACCATTGTACAAACATTAATACCAACTGATGAGATGTAGAAGGATAGCATTCTGAAGAAGTCGAATAGTTGTCCGAGTCTGTAGACATCCCTACTCAGTACTTGCTCTTCATTTCCACAATAACTTTGCCTTCCAACAGAGCAATCTGGTTTAAACCAAAGAAAGATGGTGCATTCTCTGAGGCTAAGCAAAGAAAAAGGACCAAATACTAAACCTTAATGTACTCATGGTGCGTAACATTATCTGCCTCAATGTTGAGTTAAACCCTGCAGCATTCAGTAGCCCAGATAGTGTTAAACGAATTCCACTATACTACACATAATTAAGTTTATAAATCTCATTTCTGCATATTAGGCAAGATCTACAAAGTTCTTTCTAAAACTGGAAGAAGAATTACAACTATATGGATCTTTGACACTCAAAAGACAACCAAATTAAGCATAGGCCATGTACAGAACTGTTGCCCACTTGACAGCAATGAGAGAAACCAAAAGCCATAAATTTCAAATTACTAAAGTTTATCAGAAGACCTTGACAGAGAACAATATGACCAAGAATAAGATGAAGTAAATCGGAAAGTTCTACAATAAGTAATGATTAGAATGAGAGAATTACTTAAAAGTGCGATTAGAACACAAAAACCCAAACCCTATCAAATCTCGTGTTTCCCCCTATTTGGTTGGGAGATCTATAAGTCGACGAGAAACAGAACCCTAATTCTTCACAAATTAGAAATTATGAGACTGACAAATCGAGGGATAGATAACTACCAAAAGCGAGATTCAAACTCCAAATATGAGAACTAAGAATGAGAAGAGATGAAATACCTAAGTCGAGACTCATAGCAGCAACCAGCAGCAGAGGAGCAATCGACAGCAGGGGAATTGCAGCAACGCTGGTGGTGTCACAGAAAGAGAGATTGGAGCGGCAGCGCGGGTGAGGAGCGGTGAGAATCGCGATCGTCGAAAAGAAGAAGAGGGTTGGGTGAATTTCAGAGAACCAGAAGAAGTGGTAAAGACGATAGACGTCTCTGGGAGATGTAATGAAACTTTGCCATTTCAATTTGTAATTAAATAATTATTATTTGGATAAAAAAACGAAAACGAGAAAACTTGTTAAAAGACGGACAAATAAACTGATTTTTTATTCTTATTATACCGACGGCCGTTCGACGGACAGAAGTTGCCGTCCAAACCCACACATTTAGCGCCGGGGAACCTGGCCGTCATTAAGCAAGCGTCATTAAATCTCACTTTTCTTGTAATGGATTCAGTAAACCCTAGCGGTTACATGTAGAACTTATACGAAACCCTAGGTGGCTGTTAGCACTCCCGGGCTTGATGGATTACTTCCAGCTGCCCGAAGACATAGTCGTGAAGATAGCTAGGGACCATTTCGACACGACTTCGCAGCTGGTCGCCTTCTCTGCTGGCATCCTCATCGCTGAACGAGACTCCGACGACCATGAGTTTTCTCCCATCACAATGTTCCACACGTTTGTCGCTACTCCGATTAATGACATATTTGATGATGATCAGATATATTCCGATTCCTCAAGTCCACCATCTCCACGAAGAAGCCATTAGCTGCCCCGCGTAACGATCCCTCTAGGTCCCAGCCACCCCACTGAGAACGATAGAGAAGTTCGGAGGAACAATCTGTGCCTGGCCTCCAAAGACAGGTGGGTCCTAGTAATTCATCCTCGCCCGGTCCGATTACACCTCCTCAATCCAATCACACGCGCCTCCATCAGTCTCCCCACTCTCCAGCCGACTCTTCCCCCCTACCGGAAGACATCTTTCAACATCCAGCCATCTGACTTCATGCGAGAGCCGTAATCTCTTCCTCTCCTCGGCTCGCCTGGTGCAAGGTGGGACCGAGAGGACGCCTCCAAGCTAGGTTGGATCTTTACGATCAGCGGCATTCCTGAAGATGCTATACTCTATATATCTGGGATGCCGCCTTCTTTGGAAACAAACTTTACATGCTCAACGATTATGATTTCGTCTGCATTCTCGACAGGCCCACCCGGCTGTTGAGAATGAGAGCTTTTGGTAGAAGGAATTGATAGCAATCGAATGTGATTTGCATTATGGTATTCTGCTCTATATATACACGTTTACAGGAGAAGCAGTTCAGAGTTTTAAGGAGAAGTTACAGGGAGTGGAGGAGTGGTTATACATGTGTGGGGAAATAATAAAATAAGGAGAATAAAAAAATTTATTCTTTATCGCTAATACGCCCCCGCAAGATGGAGGTCGTGTAAACGACTCCAATCTTGGACCGAAGAAGAAGAAAGCGCGGCGCAAGCAGTGGTTTAGTGAGCACATCGGCGAGTTGCTGAGCAGTGGCAATGTAGCAAACGATGAGGCGACCATCTTGAACCAATTGACGAACGAATTGATAATCGAGCGCCAAATGCGTCATCCGTGAATGAAACACGGGATCGGAACTAAAACTTGTGGCTCCAAGATTGGCGGAGAAGAGTGTAGGTGAGGAAAACAATGGTTGATGGAGCTCTGTCAAGAGATTTTGCACCCATTCCACTTTAGCGGCGGCATGAGCGATAGCACGATATTCAGCTCCAGTGCTAGATCGAGCAACAGTGCGTTGCTTTTGAGACACTACAAATGATAGGTGCTGGGTGCATGCATATACTGGGAGAGCTTATTCACGGAGAAAGCAATGTCGGGACGAGTGTACACAAGATACTGTAATGCCCTAAAACTTGGCGATAACGAGTAGCATCAGTGAGTGAGGAGCCATCCTTTAGGGTCAAAGCGGCAGAAGAAGCAAGCTGAGTAGAGACAGGCGTGGCATCAAGCATATGAAACCGAGTCAGGAGATCAATCATGTACTTGTGTTGTGATAACACATAGCCTGATGTTGTGGGAATAACCTCAATGCCCAACAAGTAATCGACATCTCCCAGCTCTTTGAGCAAAAAATGACGGGCAAGTCCATGCTGAAATGTGGACAGAGTACCGACATCATTACCAGTGAGCAGAAGATATCTACATACACCAGGAAATATAGAAGGATACCGCAACGGTGTTAGACAAATAAGGATGCATCAGACTGAGTCTTCTAAAAGCCAAACTCAAGCAGAAAGGAGCTGAGGGCGGTGTACCAAGCACGAGGATCCTGGCGAAGACCTTATATCGGATGGCGAAGGCGGCAAACATGGGTAGGACGCTGAGGATCCACAAATCCTGGTGGTTGTGCCATGTATACCTCCTCTGTAAGGGGGCCTTGAAGAAGCGCATTATTAACGTCAAACTGCTTGTCGGCCAGCCCTGAGCACGAGCAATTGTGAAGACAGTACGTAGGGTAACTGGTTTGACAACAGGGCTGAAAGTGTCCTGGAAGTCAACCCCTGGACGTTGATGAAAGCCCTTGGCAACGATACGTGTCTTATAAAGATTAATGGAACCATCAGAGTGATGCTTGATGCGATAGACCCAACGGTTGCCAAGGACATTAAAATGTGGCTGGCGCGGAACCAGATCCCACATATGATTCTGAAGCAAGGCTGTATGTTCTTTGCGCAGAGCAACATCCCATTCAGGAAAGCAAGTTGCTTCCTGTACAGACCGAGGCTCAAGGGGAATGGGCCGAGACATGGTGATGTGGAGTGCAGGGAATAATCTTTTGGGCCGGTAGATCCCAGCCTGAGCCCGTGTCGTCATCTTGTGCGGGCAGAGAACTGGGGGAGGCACCGTGGGCTGTGTGAATTTGGCCGGGTCGAAGAGATCTTAAGCCCTGAGGGAGAGGACCCAACAAGCCCATACGCCGAAGAGAGATGAGGCGCGGGCCCAGCAGCAGAAACAAGGCCAGCAGGCGCGGGCGGGGAGGCAGGACGAGGCAGCGGCCCAGCTGGCCTTGATGTGGAGGCCGGCCCAGACGCTGATTGAGATGTTGTGGAAGAGCAGCACACCGAGGCCCATGAGCTGAGGTTGGGGCAGCAGAAGATGCAGATGTAGAGAGCCCAGTAAGTGGAAGATGAATAATGTTCGAGCCCATATCATGTAACCAGGAGTCCACCGATGGGGAATATGCAGATTGGACTAGCAATTGTGTAACCACGGGCCATAAGAGGCAGCAGGACTAGCAATTGTGTGATGGGCCTGAGAATGACGAGTGTGGTAGTCCTGACGGGCCTGCGAAAAAAGTTTAAAACACTGGCGAACCGAATGGCCCGGTCGCTCACAAAATTGGCAGATATTGGGCTGCCTGCGTGGAGGGGCTGCTGATTGTGGCCCATTATAAAGAGAGGGCCGTAGTGGGCTTTGGGCCCGGGGAGGAGCGCCGCTTGAATAATCGGCCCGTTGGGTGGAGGCCCTGGTCTGCGGGCTTGTTTGATTTGGAGATCCGCCAAACCCTCGCTGGGAGCGAGAATGAGAAGAGGCGTCGCCGCTCTGGCGCTGCTGATGGTGAGTGAAGAAAGCCGTCAGCACAGAGGTACGAACTTGCACCTTGAGGTCGGACTCGAACTCAACGAGGGAATCCACAAGATCCTCCAGGGTAAGACCCGATCCGCAGACGACCACCATGTCCATATCAGAAACCGGCGCACCCACGAGCGCGAGTTCAACAACAATACTTTTTAGATCATTCACAAAAGTCAAAACATCATTTTCGCCCCTGGTGGTCTTGGCCAATTGAGTTTTCAAGTGAAGGACACGAGATTGAGCACTCCTTGCTCTATGTATTAATTCTTAGTTATTCTTAATTACTAACCTAGCTAGTGAATCAATGCAGGAATATTTATTTCTACCAAAAGAAAAAAATGCCAGGACTATTTGTAAGCATACCAAACATAAAGTGACGAATGCTGAGAATTGGAAGCGGCTGCTATTTCAAACTAGTACTCAAAATATCAGCAGAAGCAAAACTCAAAGTTATTAATATATAAACCTGAAGTTTGGTTAATGTTACCAAACAAATTACATATTAATCACTTCCTAACAAATTACAAATTAGTCAATATAATGTACATTTTACATTTTGATACCCCAAATTTAATTTTAATGTAAAACGATTGAATAATTATGTTTTGGTATCTAAATTTTTATGAGATTTCGAACAAACAATTTTTTAAATTTACATATTGGTCTAATATTTAGATTTCACTTGAATCGATGAATCCAATCCACCAGTCCTTTTGAACCAATCTATGAATTCAATCCACCATAACATAAAAGTATAAATTTAGTTTGTCCCATACAAGATGTTGTATCACTCAACTGCAGGAGAAGATTCGACAATTTATATCCTCTCATTATGTGAAACATTAAATAAATGATAAAAGCGAGACGACTCTAAAATATTGCAAGAGCAAATTTATAAATTCATTTATTATATTTGTGGGGTACTAAACAAACGTCTACTAACTACATGTAACAGAATATGCGACATCTACATAGCAAGTGTCAATAAATTGTTACGGTGAAAATGATTTATTGTTGTATTGACGACCAACTAATATAATTTGTCAAAATCTTTCCATCATCTACTTGTCGTTTCATTTTTCACTTGCCTTCAATAACCCTTTCTTTATTTTTTTTCTTTGCCATATTCGTCTAACCCTAATTAGTATACTATTCTTATGTATTCTAATAATAAGTATGAACGGGTCCATACATGACCGACCAACAGTCTAGAGAATTAATAATTGAACCAGGAACCACTAATTTTTTCAGCTCAATGTCGAGTCTAATTATAAATATATATGATTATTACTTATTAGAAATGTAATGAATATAAATGAATAAACCTATACTATTCCATATCAAAGTTAAAAAAATTGTGCATTTGGTTAATTTGTTAAGCCCAATTATACACAAAAGAAAATTTTCAAAAAATACTTTTTATTATCCGCGGCATAGCGCGGTAAATGGCTAGTACTGCTAAAACTATCAGCAGAAGTAACAACTATCATAAGAGTACCAGTACCAATACCAGTACCAATAATAGTACTAGTAATGCAGCGGTCATGATAAGGGCAAAAGAAACAGTACAGAAGGCGAACAAGAAGGTCCAACAACAACATAGTAATAGTAGAGTCGGCAGCAGATTGTGCAGCAACAGATTTGAATCTTTGTTACTGGATGAGGATGGAGACAAAAACCGGCCACAATTGAAATTATTTCAGAGCATAGCGTTCTTTTGTTGATGGACATCCTCAATTTGAGTAGTTACCCAAGATAAAATGTTTGAAGCAGTATATGGTAATTAGCTATTTCTCTGGGGAAGGAATGGTGTTTAAGGCTTGACATCAGCACTGTCTATCTCTCTCCCCCGAGGCAGCACTGTCTATCTCCATGGATTGTGCCTCTTGCTTGATAAATTTTTTTTTATTCATTTTAAAAATAAATAATAACTAGCATAAGCCCGTTAGCTATCGCTTCGCGTGTAAGTAAAAACGCGATATTTTAAAAATTAATAGTTTGAATTTTGATCCAAAAGTAAAGGCTTATTAACTACAACTCCATGTGGACGACGCAACGATAAACATTAATAAGGAAGACTGGTCGTAGAGCAAATGATTTCTATATTTAATCTTCTCTCATAAACTATTGATTAG